GTAACGTTGTTTCATTTAAGTCCAAATGTTGTCACACTTTGGAGTTTATTACATTTAAGGCCAAATGTTATTACATTTAGGAGTTTATTACATTTAAGGTCAGTTATTACATTTAGGTCTTCAACAGACTACAACTACCATGATTCCCTGCAGGCATGTCTCATAGAGGTAATTTGAAATTGGTTGACTGAGTTATCTGCGTTCGTTTTGATAGCGTAGATAACTTCTCCTTGGTTTAATTTTACGCCCTTTAGTCGTCAGAAGAACCTTCGCACCCCACAGGATTGCTAACATGGCATTTGTTTTAAAGGCAGCTCATTGGTTTTGAACAAGGGACCAAATATTTCGGTGAATCTTACGATTATTATTCTTTTTGCCGATATTCTACATAAAAAGCCAACGATCGACTTCGCACAGGAATTATCATGACCTCGGAAGTTTTCATTATTTCTATCAATAGGTGATTGGAGACAAGTCAGGCGCGTTTACAGCGTTTTCGATGAACAGAAGGAATGCGGTAGCAGCCGTTCAACTTTTAGAGGAAACTTCGGGCGCTAAGGTTAAGTTTGTTCACGTTGTGAGAAATCCATTTGACAACATTGCGACCATGGTCTTGCAGCACAAAGACATCAAGGCACGGTATGGAGATCATAAAGTAAAGGTATGATCGAAATGGTAATTTACTTTACGTATGCCAAGGGAATCAAGTTTTCGGGCAAACCCCGTAGGATATGGTAATACGTTAGTTCGTATAGTGTGATCGTCTTGGTGAGTAGTTTTGAAAAGAACTCTTGTTGGTGGCTAACGTTTCGACAACTTGAGCAAAAGTGATCTTCACAATCAAGCGAGTACTATTTGTTAGTCGATGATCAGTCTGGTTCCTTGAAACTGATTGGTCAGTTTAGCCTTGGTGGTGTTGGCTGTATGACTCGTGAATTTAAGTTTGTCAACACCAGTCGATTCTAGTAAGTTTCTATCCGTCTATTGTTAGTCAATTTACGGCGGCCTGTTTATGTCGAAAATAAGTCGTTTTGTAGTTGCTCGTAATTGCTGCCATCTACGAGGCGTTCTTTCTAAGTTATATTGTTCTGGCTAATTATAAGAGTCAGCTGTTGAAACTAGTTTGTACTGCGGGATAAGCACATTATGAGCAGAGTGCCAGTCAATTCTGTGGTCTTAAGGTGTGATTGTTGGCATCA